CATGTGCTGTACCAATGTACCTGCACATGTGATGTGACAATAAAAGTGATTTGATTTGATTTGATTTAAAACTCAGGTGAGGTTTCAAAGCTGTGTGCCAGTGATTGGACATCAGCCGCTGATAAAGTGGGTTCGCCTATAAAGTGCTCTGTAGTGAAACAAGCTCCAGCAGCTGTGCGCTCAGAAAAAAAATACTAGATTTACTTATTTTGTGCAGAAAAATGCGCCAATATTGCTTTATATAGAGCACCAACTGCCCAGTTAAACTGTGACTATCACCAGGTAACGTGGGCCTGTTTCTTAAATTAGCAGCAGGTGTTAAACATCTGACAGGTGAGGAGGAGGATGCATGCAGGTAAACTGAGGGCCTGTTGATCGCTGGTGTCATGAGAAAAATGTCAGCTCGTTCTTCATGTTACAGAAGCAAAGAGATAGAAGACCAAGAAAATGAGAATCTGCAAATGCAACATGTGGAACACGGAGAGTGGAATATGTAAACAAACCAGTTAACCCCCCTTGCCCCCAAAAAACAAACAAACAAACAAACATAAAAAACAGTTAAGATGGAGCTCGCTGCACTCTGTCAGCTGACTGTTAGTAGAGCTAGTGACAACTCTGAAAACATGTTCTATGTTGACATCCTGACCAGACATGTGAAGATTACGCCACAACATTCGCAGCTAAAACACTATTAAAAGTGTAGTTGGTGACAGAAAAACGGGGTATTTTAAAGCTTTACACCACCACCATTGCTGCCTGTGATTTGAAATGCATTCTGGGATACCTGGATGCCCCAAGTCCACACAAGCAATCGATTATCTAGGATCGACCTGTCTTGACTTATTTTGCACCACAACCAATCAAATGTTAGCGAAGCTGCAGTGGCAGCATTAACCCCGCCCCCTTAGTTTGATGGGTGAGGCCGACAGATAAAATGATTTCAAGGTGAGACATGGGGACAATAGTGCCAAAGTGAATTAAATATATACATCATTAAATAATGAATTCAATTAATTAATTAAATGTGTTGTGAATATTTAATAAATTAATTATTTCCAATTGTAATTAATTATTGCCACATTTAATTATTATTAATTATTAATTGTATATATTTTGCTACAGACTGCACACACACCTGACCACTTTATGAATTCCAAATCCTGAAAACATCTTGTTTTATCATGTTTACCTGTAGCATTGTGAACAAGAGACATCCATCTGGTCTGGGCCATTATCATTTGAGGATGATACCCTACCGGGACCCTGGTTTCCACTTCCCTTTGACCAGAAGCAGAAATTTAGAAATGGAAATAGATGAGAGGTTATACATTGAGGTTCAGACGCAGGGAATCGATGAGCGGCAGATCTCCACTATCCTGGACTCTTGCTGGGCAACGCCTGTTAATGATCCCAGCTACCCTGTGCGCTGGGATCTGATCACCACACAGTAAAGACATTGCCTTAACTTTTCTTTTCTTTTTTTGTCTTTTGTGATGGGTGAACTTTAATCATCTTCTTATCATAACTAAGTTGTTTGCACATTAACACTGCAACTTTCACATTATGCTGTTACCTAGGTGTCCTAATCCAGCAGATGGCACAGTAGAGCTGCTTCAGAACGGCGTCTCCACCGTAGCCCGTTTCTCATTCAGGATGTTCACCTTTACCAACTTTTCATCTATCTACCTGCACTGCCAGGTCCACCTGTGTCTTTTGAGACACAATTACTGCACAGCTGTACGTACTACTTATAACGATTTGTATTAACACTGGGAAAAAAATCTTTCATACCACTTATTGGATTCCTTCATCTGCTGAAATCACTCTGCTTTCCACAGCACTGCTACCCAGGTTACCATGCAAGAGTGGTGAGGGATATTTCCTACCATGACAGTGAAGGCATTTCATTGGGACCGCTTGTATTGAACACAGGTAACATTTGTACAACATTGGCAGTCTTGTAGATGATACAGCTGTATAATCAGTGGATTGTGATAATTGGATTCATGAGCCAAGTTTGAATTCACTGTAGATTTTGGTTGTTTTCTAACAGAAAGAAGAATGAAAGCAAGCAGCTCTCCAGGCCTCTTGACATCTCTGGTGACCCTGATAGTCTGTTTGCTGACTGCAAATAGTCTGATCTAGAGAAATCAAGTTAATGCACACACAACAAACTCAGCAGTCATATAATAACTGAGTATAAATTTGATAAGTAAAAGAACCAAAAATAGAATCAGAAGATTTTTTTTTAATACACAGAGAAATAGTGATGGTTTGAAAAGTGGAAGTTACTGAATATCTGACATCTGTGAAAATGCTTCTTATTTGCTCTGAGCACTCGTTTGTAATAGCTGCCATTTGTCTTTGCAACACTGGAGGGCAGCACCTGATCAAAAACATATGTTTCTGTTTCCAGTTCATGAGTTTTACCTTCAGGTCATTCAGGGTCGTTTTAATACCATTACATAATGATTTATCTTGTGTTATTCATCATTAGCAAGGATTGAAATAATGACTTAGAAATGTATGTGTGAAATATGTCTTGTACACTGGATCAGAATACAGTCTGGGTTGACTGACAGTTTTGCTTTGGAAAAACCAGGCCCTTCTTTTCTTTTTTAAAATAAAAACTGCTTTTGAATCACTTTTTGAATTTACAAAGAAGCATCTTCATGTAACTGTAACAAAGGAGGGAAACTCCATTATAGAATCACAATAAGTATTGCACGGAACAAGTAAACAATAACCACAATCCAATCCAAACGGTCACTACAAGAAGGTTTCCGTTTCACATGAAAGAAACTATCCGTGATACAAGAGGTCAGGTTTCTCTTTTGTGCTGAACCTCTTTTGTTGTTCTGAGTGTGAAGATTCAGTAAGCTGGGGGGGGGGGTGAAATGTATCATTGTTAACCGATGTGTCGTCAGCATTGTGGGATGAGACCTACAGCAGACATAGCACCGGTTAACACATATGCACAACATTAAATTTATTATTGGTGTTGTGGTACAAGTGCTCAAAGAAGGGCATTATGTCAAATACCTGGTAAGATGTGTAGAGCTGTTATAGCTCATATTTCATGTCTGTTAATTCTAATGTTGTTAATTACTTCTCATAGACTTATAATCTACTTAAAAACCAAAAGTATGCCCATGTGATTGGTACTTAAGAACTGTATTTCTCATATAACTACTTTCCTTCTTTGAAAGTGAGTACTGGGAGGTTAATTGTGTGGCTTATGTGGTATTAAGTCAATGAGCGAACATGAATGAGAGAGTAAAACAAAGAATCACAACGGACAATGTAAAGGTCGCACTGGAACTGATATCCTACAAGTCATTATTTGGCAGACATCTCTTCTTTTCTCTCAGTATTATAAAATGTAATGTAATGCGTTGGCTATTCAGACCATGTAACTTTCTATGGGATAAGAAGACAGGTTTGGTGAGAAAGTGCATTACATTTCAGGTATCTACAAATATCTGAAGGCAATGAGAACACACAGTTTGAAATATAACTTAAAGTCATGCTGGCAGCTGTGATTAAAGCAAAATTAGAAAGAAAGGGTTATGAGTGGGGCTGAGGTGATGTGTGTGATCCTTCAAAAAGAATATTGCATAGAGCTGGCGACAGTGGCTAAAAGTTCTGTCTCAGTCTAAATATCTAAGTCTCAGGCCCTCAAAATGCATCCTGCTTGTATGCTTGAATCTCTTTAATCCTTTCCTGATTGTTCTCATATCTTCTTTTGCAACCCATTTATCCCTCTTCTTCTTTATGCAATCTGCCCTGTACCTAACCGAATTAACCAAATGCAGTTTTTGGAACAGATTAAGCCCCACCTACATATGTCAAACTTAACAACATCCATGTGTGGTGACTCATATCTTATCTTTGATTTGCAAACTGTCATACAATCACTTTAAAGGGCTCTCCTTGATCTAGGGCATGGGTGTCATACATAAGGCCTGCGAGCCAGAAGCGACCAGGCAGAAAGACCCCAATCAGAGTTTTAGAACATTTGAAAAAGGGCATCGATTTTGGGCTTTTAACTATATTTTTAATAGGCTTTACAGTTTTTCATGCTGATAATGACCTCCCCCATGGTTATTAATACTACACCAACTTTTTCTGTAATTTTACACATTAATTTCTTACAACTTAAGAAGAGTTATACTAACAGATACATTTACTACAGAAATCAAATTTATTTATTAATATGTCTAAGAGATTACATGTGCAATTTACTTCTTCACACTGACACACAGAGAAGCTTCACTGGTCTGGCCTACGTAAATTCATAGAGGGCTGTATGTTATTGACAATGTAAGATGAGTCTGACAATCCTGATTTTGAGAGTTCCTACACACACACACACAAAGGAAGCTGTTGGACTTTGCTAAAACAGAGGAGTGTGCATTTATTTCTGTATTTAAACCAATTAAGACTTCCTGCAGGAAATGCAAGTGAAGTGCAAGTGAGATGGTGAGAGGAAAAGAGCCCGTGGATGAGAGATGAAGGAAAATATGAGTGACAGCTTGTTGACTTTTACAAGTTGCAGTGGGCTCAGTGGGGGTAAATTGGATTCCCTTGTTAAATCCCCTGCGTGGTGTGTTGGAGGGGTCGGCTAGGGTCTCATCTGATGTTTGACCTCCTTTCATGGCACTAGCAGTGACCACTCATGCACCGCTCACAGAATAATTACATCTGTTCTGGAGTCTGTTTGGGCACTTTGACCCATTTTTGGTTTTCATATTTGTAGTTTCCAAAATTCTTGCAACAAGTATGCTCATATGGCTCTTAACTTTTTATCAATTTGTTTGATTCTGAATAAATATTCCAATTTGTTGTTAACGTATTCCAGATAAATAAACAAAAATATTTCATTTGGAAGCTCTGTGCATGCTTCTGCCCAATCAGAAATTAGAGGAAGTTGTAGTTTTCTTCTTGTTTAGAAACTTTTTGTTTTGGAAAAACCTTTCTTGTAAAAGAAATATCCGCCTGTTTCTACCCAGAGTAATTAGGTTTCGCTGGTGAACTCTATACTCCTGAGAAGGCTGGACAGTCCTGGGACTGAAGTCATGAAACTCGATGGAGCAAACCATGTGTGAAAAATCAACGCTTTGTAAAGTAAAATATATATACCGTGACTTTATCCATGCTGTGTTATCTGTGGATTTACTATGACATCTTTACTGTCCTGAAAATTAGTCACAAGTGTGTAATGATATTTTTATAGTATTTCCCAGCACTCTTCTTTATTAACATTATCATGTCCAAATATAACTCAAACATAAAAAAAAAATCAAATATCACCAAAACTCAAACTAGTCATTGTTTACTTGCCTTTCTTTCCCACTGTTGTTCCACTATTACATCATGTCATGTTCATCCACTGATGAATGTTACAAAAATCCATTAGACAAAAAATGTAATGACTGTAAATTATTTTGTCTATGACAAGCCGTTTCCACCAGGCTTTCATTTGAAATATTAGATCAGGGGTTTACCAGAGGGCTTCCACTTACCATCTGGTTTTGCTGTCAACTCATGACTGCGTCCTTTACTGTTTAAACCTGTACCAATTTGTGTCTTGCTAAAGATTTAAACATTTTTTTATGGGGCATTACCTTTTGGTGTCACCAATAGTAATAAATCAAATCTTTTAGTGTAAAATTTATATTTTTTATTCTTTGAGAAACTTCTACCTACTCCCACATCTTCTCACATCTTGCTTTTTGATGCACCTCAGTGTTCTATATCCCAGTAATGTTCAGTATTTGGACAGCAGTTCTACATCATTGCATCTGGCTGCTGGAATTGTATCCTTAGTGGGTAAAAGCAGTATGAATAGCTTATTTGTATGACAGCTTCCCAAAAGTGAAGGCAAAATATTTTGATTAAGTCATGTGACTAGCTGCAGTACAGGTCAGAAACCCCACCTGCTCTCCAGCAAAGTGAACTAACTGACTTCATTTGTCTGAGAGTTTGTTGTACTTTTTATAGTTAGTTAAGATCATTAGTATTAATTCTATTAGACAACAAGCATTCTAACATTAGCTGCTTGGGGGGAAAGCAGCTACAATAATGTGAAAAACTAAGTACACTCCTACTGCTTCCACAGAAACTGAGAGGGTGAGTAGCAGTTAGGTTTAGCTTATAAAATGTACATGCTAAACCGGCACAAGCTTGATGCTGCTATGTTAGCTAATTATAGGCATATTTCACATCTTCCTTTTATCTCAAAAATTCTTGAAAGAGTAGTTGTAAAACAGCTAACAGATCATCTGCAGAGGAATGGCTAATTTAAAGAGCTTCAGTCAAATTTCAGAGCTTATCAAGGTGCAAAAACAGCTTTAGTGAAGGTTAGAAATGATCTTATGGCCTCTGACAGTGGACTCATCTCTGTGCTTGTCCTGTTGGACCTCAGTGCAGTGTTCGATTCTGCTGACCATTTTATTTTATTACAGCGATTATTAAAGCGATTAGTGCATGCTGTAGGTATTACAGGTATCGCACTACAGTGGTTTGAATCATATCTACCTATTAGTCTCCAATTTGTTCATGTAAATGGAGAGTTCTCTTCACACATTAATTATGGAGATGAAGATTAATTATGGAGTCCCACATGGTTATGTACTAGGGCCAGTTCTGTTTACATTATACATGCTTCCCTAGGCAGTATCATTAGAAGGCATAGCATACATTTTCACTGCTATGCAGATGATACCTAACTTTATCTATCCATGAAGCCAGATAACACACACCAA